ATATGTGTAAAGTAATACTGAATGTTTAAAGTAAATGTGTAAAGTCATATTTTAAAAGGAAAATGCTTTCCATGATTCTGTCTAATAAATTCCAGCTGTCTAATAAATATAACATTTTAGAAGCATTTTTAAAAATAGAAATAGAAATATTAACAATATTTACAATTATTTTAGATATAATTTGATCTCTTGTTATACAATTTTAAATAACGTAACATAACATAACAACATGAAGCTTCCCGTGTTGCTTAATATATTTAAATATAATTCTATTATATTTAAATTTAAATGTAAACAAATTAAATGAATAAATATAAATATATCAAAAAGTTAAATTAAATAAGGACAAAAAATGTTTTGGCATGTCACGTCTAAAAATGTCAGTCTTTTTTTTTTTCTTTACTCAGATAACACTGCCGGAGTCGTGACCTTGCGTGGCGGCTTCAAACGGCGCTCTCAGGAGATCTACCACCTTCCTGTGGTGATTGAAGACGGTGGCCTCCAGATTTTGAGCAGCACCGGCACCCTCACCATCCGCGTGTGCGGCTGTGACACCGATGGATCTTTATTAACGTGCAGCGCTGAAGGCAATCCCAATTCTATTTGGAGTGAAAATGCATTCTGCAATTCAAAAGCCACCGGAATCTTATTTTGCACGAAAACTAACCAGACAGTGATATTGTCCATCATAGACTTCTGAATCACATTTCAAAAGCCTTTTATTAAATGGCTATTTTTGGAATGAAACACTTGCTTACATACTAAATGCTGTACAGTATATACTGTACACAGCCTACTATTTTAGAAAAGAGTAAGTGAAACAGAATGCATTAATTCACAAAAACTCTAGTATGCCACATTGTTCTCACATGACTTCACTACATTTGTCACATGACCTTGGCAATCACTTATCATTTAAAAAATAAATAAATAAATAAAATAAATAACAATTTTCTTCTAGTTTTTCCACCGCCAAAGACATGGAAGGTCACGTGGAGTGCATTGCATTATGGGATACAGTATTCTGTACATTCAGTACAGAGTGAGCTGTGTTGTATCTCAGTTATTTTGACATATGTAGTACTAGAGGTCATCTGGGTATTGTGTGCATGCAGAAAATGTGCATACTGAGCATAGCATACATACTATTATAGGTAATGTAGAACATCACAATTATTTTCTGATTAAAGTGGTTCTGAAATTACACACTTACCTTGAACTTAGTCATGAAACACATCCGCAATTGATTTTATTTCAGCATGGCGTATTTTGAAATGAAAGTATATAATAAAGAAAAGAAAATATTGATTGGATAATGAAAAGTACAAGAATGATTCATTCGGTTTGAGGGAAATGTTTGAGAAAGAAGTAGATTTTGTTCTTCAGTAAAAAGGGAAAGTATGGAAGCTTGTTTCTGCCATGGAATACAAAAAAAAAACTTCTTGGGCTTCATGGATTCATGCTTTTTTTAGATAGAAGATACATATGCTGCTCTGAAACTCTCTGGGGTGGTTTAATTAAAACACACTTGTTAATTAAGTGCCTGTTTATTGGCCGTTCAAGACAGGGAAGGAGGAGGATAGTTGGATAAAGCGAATAAGCACAGGTTTAAACGAGCCTTGTCTTCGCCCCTCAACGTCATAGTAAAAGCTCTAAATCTCTGAGTGTCATTAGCATCAGATCACAGGCTGAATTACTCTCCATGTTAACTTAACCCCCAAGGTCTAGACGGGGAAATCTCTAGAGTTATAAACCCAGTTCATTTGCATACGGGATGTGCGGGAAGTTGAGGTGGAGGGGTGAGGAATGAAGTGGAGACTTTTATGGCCTCGTTTCCATGGTAATGTGTGTGGGCTGGCTGGTCATTAAGTAAGAGCATGCTCAACAAAATGAGGTTAGCACTCGGCTGTCCTCGAATGAACCTCAGACACAGATCTCAACATGCAGTACACTGCAGCTTTTAATTCTCAAATGATGTGTACGTCCACCTCATCATGCAGATCATCCATGAGCCGGAGCAAAAAGTAGACAAAGGTCAAAGCTTTGACCTTGCAGTATACCAGAGGTCATCTATATTCTTTTATACGTATATAATTCAAAATTGTTCATATATTACTGGTCAAAAGTTTGGAATAAAATGTGAATATATATTCTACCGAACAAAAGTTTGGAATAAAATACTGTGTGTTTTTAAAATACTTTTGAAAGAAGTCTCTTATGCTCACTAGTGCTCCATTTATTTGATTTAAAAGAAAAAAGTAATATTGTAAAACATTATTGCAATATAAAATAACTATTTTCTATTCTCTATATTTTAAAATGTAATTTATTCCTGTGATAGTAAAGCTCAATTTAAAATAACTTTTCTATTTTAAGATATTTTAAAATGTAATTTACTCCTGTGATGGCAAAGCTGAATTTTCAGCATCATTACTCTAGTCTTCAGTATTAAATGATCATTCAGAAATCATTCTAATATGCTGATTTGGTGCTAATAAGAAGTAATATTTCTTATTATTATCAATATTAAAAACAGTTGTGCTGCTTAATATTTTTGTAGAAACGGTGACAATTGTTTTTTTTTCATTGATGAATAAAAAATGTTAAAGCATCATTTATTTTGAAATAGAAATCTTATGCAACATTATAAATGGTACAGTGTTGTTTACTGTCATGTTTAGTAAGTTTAATGTACCTTTGCGGAGTATAAATAAATAAATAGCTTACTGGCCCCTTATAATTTTAACTGCAATTATATTATATTATATTATATTATATAATATTATAAACAAAAATTATATCCTAAAGTTTAATTTAACTTAAAGGGTTAGTTCACCCAAAAATGAAAATTAGGCTGTGTTTTACTCACCCCCGAGGCATCCTAGGTGTATATGAAAAAGTCACATACACCTAGAATGCGTGAGTAAAACGCAGCCTAATTTTTATTTGTGGGTGAACTAACCCTTTAATCCTCCACATCTACAGTATTTCTTGCATTGATGAAACGTCTGCTTACTTCTGTTCCTATTGTGATAATCATGTCTTTTCTTATTTCTCTAATAATATTTTGTCTTCTGATTCACTCAAGTTTACCCATTTCATGATGCTCAACATGTTAATGAGCTCTAACGTTTTAAATTGGTTAGATGTTACTATTTTCATTCCCATACCTTCACTGCTATTTCAGGTTAGCACTATGATCACCTTCTCCATCAAATTTCAGCTCATTTCCTTTGTTTATCCCTCAGCAATACGCCTACAGTGGACAGTAGGCTGGCTCCTTTTTCAAAGAAGAGCAAATTAAGTTGAATCACAAAAGAAAAAGGGTCAGACTGAGACCTCGAATGCAATTTAGGCCTTCCTGCTGTAGCCATTATCGTTGAAAGAAAACAGAAATGCATTATTTTAACAGAAGGAGATATTTTGGAAGACAATTATTCACCTTTAGCACCTAGAGCTGATGAGTTATTTTTGACACTGGCCATGTTAAAGACAATATGAAATTAAAGGGGTCATATGATGTTGCTAAAAAATAACATAATTTTGTGTATTTGGTGTAATGAAATGTGTTTATGCGGTTTAAGATTCAAAAAACACATTATATTTGGTGTAATGAAATGTGTTTATTTAAGGTTAAAAAAACAGATTATTTTCCACATACTGTACATTATTGTTTCTCCTCTATGCCCCGCCTCTCTGAAACGCGTAGATTTTTACAAAGCTCATCAGCCTGAAAAGCAAGGTGTGCTCTGATTGGCTAACTATCTAGTGCATTGTGATTGGCCGAATACCTCAAGCATGTGACAGAGCAGCAACAATAATACAGTGAGAATAAAAGTTACGCCTTCTTTCTTTGCGTGAACATTTGGGCGGCGTTATGCAAATCTTCCCACATCGTGACGTAGATATGTGGGGGCGTGTTAGAACGAGCCATTTTATGTAGGCGTGGTTGACTTAACTTGTATAAAGAATATCTCTTTGGATTCGAGACTTTAGTCTTTGCAACTTGACAGATCTTCTTTATGCACCAAGAGTTTGTAACACTTCAAAGAAAAAAGGAAAACTTGAAATCGCATCATATGACCCCTTGAAATTAAAATAGACTCTTATTTGTTTCTTATTTATTTTCCTAATGCATGTCATAATGTACATGATTTATCAGCACACACTAGTTCAATTTTTTTTCCTTATTTTTTTGTAAGTTGTCTTTGCAAATTATCTGTCTACAGAATCTATTTACCTAAATTGCTGTACCTCAGAAATGACTTCAGTTTTCAGCTGACATCACACATCTCTCTTAAAAGTATGTAAGTTTGTTTCCACCACAAGATAATAAATAGATAAATACAAGTCATTGCAATTTTTTTATCTTACAAATCTGCCTTTTTTTTCTCTCAATTCTGAGAAAAATAATCAGAATCTCAGAAGATATAAACTCAGAATTGCAAGTTTATATTGCAAGTTTATACTTGCAATTTTGAGGGGGGAAAATGTCAGAACTGTGAGATAAAACATCACAATTACCTTTTGCATTTTTTTATTCAGTGACAGAAACAAAAATAAAATGTAAAAATTTAAATAATAATAAAAAACAGAATTGCAAGATGTAAACTTAAAATGGGTTTTCATATTAAAGTGATAATTCACCCACAAAAGATATAAATTCTGTCATCATTTACTTACCTTCATCCCTCATGTAGTTTCAAACCTGTGTGCGATTTTTTTATTTATTTTTTTTTTTTTTTGCGGAACACGAAAGACATTCTGAAAAATATTGATAACCAATTAGTTTGGGTTCCCATTAACTTCCATTGTATTTTTAGTTTTGTCCAAACATTGGAAATCAATGGGAACTAAAATTGTTTGGTTACCAACATTCTTCAAAATATCTTCTTTCTATCGTTCTACCGAATGAAAAAAATAAAAAACTCAAACAATTTGGAATGACATGAGGGTGAGTAAATGATGACAGAATGTTCATTTTTGTGTGGACTATCCCTTTAATACCTACACTACTTCCCGTTGTAAAATTAATTTTAGTCCTAAAACACCTGTAATTTTGATGTCTATTTGACATCTGCACTAGTCTTCACACCACTGAAAAACAGTCAATCTGTCTTTTTCAATAACATGAGAGCTTGTATTTAAGAGACTGCTGCAGTGCTCTGAAGACTGACCTGTCTCTCAGCTCCCGCTTCTGCAAGATACCGGCAAGCACCTCTCACAGCATCACTGCGTCCTTGCTGAAGGTGCGAGCCAGGATCACAGACAGACAGCACAGAGAGAGAACACATTGTCGCGCTGGAGATTAGCCATTATCAGTGATCCATTTGTCAGACTGACCCATTTCCCGCTCCACGGATGCAGTCATGGCAGACAGAGCGAGAGATCAGCATCCCGAGGATGAGGGCTTATCAATCTCGAACCCATCTTCTGCGTATGCCAGTCAAATCACAAACATGAACTCACAAAATAGGCTACACGTCTGACATGTTTGAATGGTTGAGAGCTGCAGTACAAATATTTGTCACTTGGAGGCACTGTCATCTCACAGTCACTCATCTAGAGTAGACTGTTGGAGCATATATAAAACAACCTTGATATTTGTTTTCTAGCAGTTTCCTCTGATTTGCTGCAAACTAATAAACATATACAGGTGTTAGCCTATGGACTTAGACACCTCCTGAATCTATAAAAAACTCTCTACATCTCCATTGCAGCACAGTGTGACAAAGTAAGTGTTGATCACGGCTCGTTTCCAAAACCTAGTGAGCAACTGCCTTCTAAGGTCACATACTAACTGAAATAGAGAAATATATCTATCTATCTATCTATCTATCTATCTATCTATCTATCTATCTGTCTGTCTGTCTGTCTGTCTGTCT